AAATATAAATACGCAAAAGCCCAAAAAATCTTGTAGCCCTGCTTAGGCCGGGCCGAGCTTTAAAAGTAAGGCCGAATATTTTTTGGGCCAGACCAGGCCAAACTTATATATATGCGGGTTTTACGGGTTTTGAACTGGGTCGAGCCGGGATACGGGCCGGGATAGTCTGTTTGACGTGCCTAAGTAATGATGACCACAGTCTAACATAGAAAATGACCACTGAAATTTCCATCACAAACAATACTTGACCACACTCAATCCTAAAACATTCATCTACCTAACTATTCTAATTTATCTAAGAGATAACCAAACCGAATCACACTCTTATGGAACTAAACTTTAACCAAACCGAAATCATTTCGGTTAAAATTCAATTATAAATTACCAAAAACCGAATCGGACGGAACCAAACTTGAACCATATGCTTCAAAATAAACGGAAATGCTGACTCTAATTCATACCATACCAAATGCTACTAAACGCTCCTAAGAGAAATTGGTCGCATAAAGTTGCTGCATGCCACAGCAGATACTGATCCGAGCTATCAATCTTCAATCTATGATCTCATAAATTCATGAAATTCTTGAGGATATTCGCATATGTGCTCAAAGCTTTGATTTGGTTTTGTTTAATTACATCCTTCGTTCAACAAACCATAAAGCAGATCACTTAGCTAAAATTGGCCTTAGACTTGTAATGGGCTAAGATTTATGAATGAAAAAGAGTTTGAACAAAAAAAAATATATAGTTGCTGCATGCAGTTGAAGATACTTTAAATTCTATAAAAAAAAAAAACGATCTAGTGAATTTTGTCTACCATTATTAATCTAAAATAGTTCATTTTCATGTTGGAATGAAATTGAGCTAGCATCGGTGACTAGCAAATCTTAACAAGTAACAACAACCGACACACAGTCACAAAGAAGAAAAAATGACAAAGAAGTTCAAAATATTGACAAGTCTTGTTATTCAGCTCACGATAAAAATATTAAAAATAAGTCAAATTCAACCTATTACTACTAGCATTTTATTATGATAATATGATGGATAATTGATAAGGTTTTGAATATTCACAAGTGGAGTGTGTGTTACTACACTTTTGTTTCGCGGCTGCGTATAGATTCATTTCATTAAATAAATTTTGTATTATTTTGTGTCTGTCATTTCATCGCTTTGAATAATTGAATGGGAATTCAACACTGGAGGCGACTTAGTCAAGATTGGCGTTGTTGTTTTCTTATCTCATTTATACTAGGGCCCTTTACATTAAACAAAAAAAAAGTTATAGCATTATATATATTTTTTTAGTTCCATTTTTTTCGTTTCATCTGTTGAATTTTTTTTAACCGTCTCAAATTTTATTCTATGTAAGCAACATAGTAATATTGTGGAAACAAAGTACTCTAACACAAAAAGATAACCATTTGCATCACACCTAATAACAAGGGCACTAGATGCTAAAACTAAGTTTTTCTCACAAGTAAATTATGTAACCAAACTGGACCACTACGATCAATATATGAGTTAAATCTCACATCTTTTGTCACGTTTGTAGAAATTTTTCGGACAATCTGGTTCATCTGTTGATTTTGAATTTTCTTTAATTTATGAATTTAACAATTATAATTTTACTATCAATTTTATGACCCTTTAGAATATTCGATAAAATTGAAGCAATATAGAGATCACATCAGAAATGAGAAAATAGCTATTTTTCGAAGAAAAAAAAACGGATGGCTGAGTTGAGTTGTCTGAATTTAATTGGTTTTACAAAAATATCTCATCTGTGTAATAAGTTTTGGTTCATGCAACCTTTGTAATTTTTGTTAATCAAGACCAAAAAATATTTTTTGGTATATGATCATCTTTAATTAAAGATCGATTTGTAATTCATTTTCAAATAAACAACGTTCTTTTTTTTTGCTAAAAAAAATAATCAACGTTCTTTCCAAACGAGAATAATTTTTAAAAAATCGTATGAAACACCACTTAACCAAGATCTCTTTGGTCTATAGTGAAACTTTTCGGCATGTTTTTTTTTTGTTTGGTATAGAAATTGTAAGTTTACACCGATTACAACGCCGTCTCAGAACTTTCACTTTTAGAGTTTTGAATATGAAGGAACGTCTTTATCAAAAAAAATATATACGAAGGAACGTAAGAAATTTCATACAGCTTGATCTTATAAC